TGGAGATGCCACCAGCACCCTGCAGCTCACAGATTACTGTAGTTGAGGATAACAGAAGCTTTCAAATAGTATATGGTTTAAAGTTGTTTGGAAGTCACTTTAAAGAAGAAAAATATATAATATTGCATACACACACATATACACACACACCACTCCCAGTACTGGGTTTAGATTTTCCATAGTGGAGTGGTCAGCATTGTAGGATTTGGGTGCCAAGGCTCATATAACATAAAAGGGAGCTGTGTACATTCTGCACTATTCAAACCAACAACAGACAACAACCAAAAGGTGCACAAATCAGACAGGTTCTATTTAGTTACAGTGGATGTGTGGTGGCAGAAGCAAATTAACTATGGAAAAGAATGGAACAGAGCCATGAGGACAATACTCCAGAAACAAAGTATCAAAAAAGGAAGGGAAGTTATTTTATTGACTTTTAATTATTTTATTTGTTAAGTTTACCTTTTCCTATACACGTACCCTTAAGATCAGGTTTAAATAAAAATAAAAACCCACACACTGTATTGCAAAGCATCTGTTAACTGAACTTTGCAAATAGAGAGATACCATTTATTACTAATTATTTAATCAGATGAGCCTCCATTCAACAACTGAATGAATCTGCACTGGTATCATCACTACTTTCAAGACAAAAATTTTCAGTTCATTTCCAAACTTTCAGAATTATATACTGTTTTATAAATCCTTCTGGATTTTTCTAAAATGTAGCATAAGGCATAACATATTCCTTTAAAGGCTTATTTATCCACAATTTTTCAAGCAAATTTAAAGCCACATTTTACAAGCAACTCCTAAAATATTAAAATAAGATCTCTAATTTAGCTAGCATCATAAAACAGATGAGCAGAACACAACATTTAGAAAAATTAGCACTTTTCCGTGCTGCTTGAAATCTAGGGTAAGGTCTGTAGCTTTGTTCCCTAATTATTAATGCTTTTTCATACTATTTGGTACTTGAGTTAAAAATAAGACAATCACAGAAGCAATCAGAAGTTTCCCAGGGGTAAAGGAAAGGAAGGTTGCTGCTGAACCTGACTTTTAGGTTGTTTTTCATTCTTGCTTTGAATATTCTTTCATGGCACATTAATTCTGGGTTGACTTTTATTCACCATGATAATTACGTACCCATCTTACCCCAACTTGAGGACTTTAAACAACAAAATGCCACCTGGAAGTTGGATATATGTTTGGCTTGTGTATGCCTCTCACCTCCTAAATTATAGCCATGCAGAGGAACAAAATACAGTATATTCATGTGTTATCCAGTAAAACTTGGCCAAACCAAACTGAAAGCACAAGCACAGATCTTATGTTTATTAGCTAGGACTTGGGGCCTGTAACTATTCCAGAACTTAAATCTATTAATAAACCAGTGGCAGTGCTATCTGCTGACCAGACAACCTTGATAATACAAGAGCAAAGCTGGGATTATACAAGAATTCTTTTGCGTTTTTCAGTTTAGATTTGCTGATGTTCATCTTGGGACATCTAACTGATGTCCACATACTATAATAAAACAACCATTTTAATTCCTTGTAAAGGGTGATTATTTTAGAATTCTTGCTCTCTAGGTGTAAAGTATTAACAGTTTTCTTCTAGTGCACAATGCTATGTCGTTAGTTACAGCATATAGTCACTAGCAATTGTGAAATCAATGAAGGCACAAAAAGAAAGGGGTGACAAGGAAGGGGTTCATACATCTTGGAATTTAATCATAGTGGACAAGTTCTGTTTCTAGTTCACCTGTTCCATTGCAAAGCAGTTTTTGTTGCTCCCACTGTAATACGAGTTTATCCTCTAGGCATTTTTACTACTCTCAGAACTGTGGTATCCAGTGGCCTATCAAGAACTGCTGGTAGGTCACATACACTTAACTCAAAATGCTAAAATAACTGTTACAAAAATTTCTCCCTACCCCTTGACAAAAGTCCCCTTCCCTTGGTCTAAAAACAAATGGATCACCTTCATTTTTTCCTCAGATTGAGAGGCAAGTCTCAGGATGACAGTGTGATATAGTAAACTAATTAGGACTCAAGACTCCTATAGTTTAATTCTTGCTGAGGCCTCAATCTAGGCACACATTTTTGGTGCACCAAATCCTGCCTGTGCAGGTGTCAGCATGCATACAGAGGTACATCTGTAAGAGGACCCCAAGATTTGTATATCAAGCCTCAGAGTTCTACCTCCCAGTTAGACATTGTGTGGCCCTGAATTTCCCCATCTGTAAAATGAGGTGGCAATCCTTACTGTCCTCAGGTGTTGTGAGGATTAAACATTTGTATAGTATTTTACTTGTTCAAAGTGCTAAGTACAACATATTATATTTGCTATGTGATACTCACTTTTATGGGTCATCAGTGGGCACCTGTTTATGATCTCTAAAATTACCACAACCTTAACTTTTTCCATGGGTGTAAGGGCTAGCTACAAGCAATATCTCAAAAGACACTTAATTGTTTGATTACTGAACATAGGCAAATATACAAATTTCAGAGTCTTCTTCAAATACAAAAGTACTTCCAATTCCTTAATACAGAAACATTGTTTGGAAATGATGGAATTAAATGTTTAAAAGGAAGAGGTATGTGTAATTCTGACACAAGACATTTCATAGAGTCAGAGAAACAGAACCGGAAGGGACCTCAATAAGTCATCTAGTCCAGTCCCCTGCACTGAGGCAGGACTATCTAGTCCCAGGGGTTCTCACAATAATTTTTTTTGGTGGCCAACTCTTGCTAGTGGCCACTCTGACAATTTTTCCTAAAATACTTAACTTTAGGAAAAAAATAAATATGCCCATATATAAGTCCAAATCATTGTAATTTATTTATGTAGGGTTTTATTTGTAAACTCAAAAACAACGTACAGTTTCCTCTATTCTTTACTTGACCAAGACAGAATAGAAACAAAAATAAGGTGCTTTGCATGTTGTTGTTTTCTTTTGCCTTTTGGGGGTTTTTTTTTTTGGGGGGGGGGGGGGACGTTGCTAGCTAGACTTTTAGGCTGTGGGAAGTGGCGGCCAGCACATCCCTTGGCCCACGCCGCTTCCCGCGGCCTCCATTGGCCTGGAGCAGCGAACCGCAGCCAGTGGGAGCCGCGATTGGCTGAACCTGAGGACGCGGCAGGTAAACAAACTGGCCCGGCCCGCCAGGGTGCTTACCCTGGCAGGCTGCGTGCTTACCCTGGCAGGCTGCGTGCCAAAGGTTGCCAATCCCTGCCCTAAAGCGTCTCATGCCCCCCCAGAATACATTCCACGGTCGTCGTCCCCAGAGGGGGCCCTCCTCCAGTTTGAGAACCTCTTATCTTGTTTATAGAAAAAATCTTTTGAAGAGAGATTAAAGCCAAAGTACCTTCTACAGATTTCTGGTGACTCTCAAGGTGGAAGTCAAAGATACCATGATGCCTTCGAACACAGTGTTCTTGGAAAACATTCCTTCTCAATAAATCAATTTATAGTCGCCAAGACTGTGTGTGGACCAAAATTCAGTAGGATACAGGCTAACTATCAGTATTTAGCAAATAACTCTGTAAAGCTCTGAGCTACTGGTTATCTTATATATGAAAGGTGCTATACAAGGCTATGTTCACTTCTGTACAGTTACTGTGTTCAGAAGAAGAGATCTTGTTCTTTCAGCAGTAATTAATCTGCTAAGGAGTTAAAAGCACAAAGATTGTAATAATGATGCCAATGTTTGTTAAGTCTAGAGTCTGCAAGTCGTTCTGCGTGTGTAAATTCTACTGAGTTAAATGGGGGTCTGCCCATGCACACAACACCTTGACTTAAACAGGGACTTCACAAGAGCAGAGGGATACAGCTGTATGGAACAACAACTTGCAAGATATGTTAACTTGCTCATCAAGGCCCTGATCTCCATGGAACCTTTTTGGAAAACACATAGATTGCTCTTGAGAAAATCCACTCTGCCTCCACAGAAAAACCAAACTTATCCACAAATACTCTTAGATACTCCTTCTTAATCAATTACATACCAACTGCAAAGAATTTAAGGCAATTCTTCTATAGCCAACCTTTCAGTGTAATACTCAAGTGGGAAACATTTTTCTTCAAATTAAGTAAAACATAAATGGACAATTGAATTTACTTCATGTATAATCAATACCAAAGATGTAGAATGGGTCACAAATGCAGTACTGATGTTAATGTAACAGCCACTGGATTGTAGCATCACTTAAATTAGTTTAATAAATTTTAAAAAGGGTCTTTTATGCCTAAACACGATAATGTATGCGTAAGAAATTTGGATAATAATGATCAGCAGCTAGATACCACACTAATAGATGTATTATATGTGTATTAAATAGGATGGATGGAGGAGAAAACAGAGACCTACAAAAATAGACACATTAAATGGAAGCATTACAATATAGTTAAAAAAAATCTCCATTTGCCTGTGATAAATTAATTCAAATTTATCAACTGCCACCAAAGTTTGGATTAAATTTAGACTAACCTAAAATTCACTTTACAAAAAGCTGATCTGTTCCTCAGGTTTGGAATACCTAAACTCCCTGGCAGCTCAGGTTCACAGCCCTTCGTCTATCTATACATGTTTACTGTGCCCATTATTGCACTATTTAGGCATTTCTCAGAGGGGGAACAGCACAGAATTTACTATATAGATCAGAGAGGGCCAGCTCTACTTGCCTGTTAGTGGTCTCACAGCCTCTCTCATAAGATTAGGGTTTTGCCTCAGTCTCTATGAGCAGAATCTTTCCTCCCACCCAGGCACCTTTGTGGCAGCTGTCTGCCACTCTCCTCCCTCCCGGCCTACCAGTGCCAGGGCTGCAATACTTATGTAGTTTGTAAAGTGCTTTGGGGTCCGAAAGAGTAAACGCTGCCCTAAAGCTCTAGGGAGCTGTACACCTAGTGGATCGCCCCATGGGCCGGGTGCAGGAAAGTGGTGGTGGGGAGTCTCCGAACATCCCCGGCTCCGCACGGGGCTCGCTCGCTCGCTCACCTCTTCCACCTCAATCTCCTTGTAGTCAATTTCTTCGAAGTTGAGGACCGGGGGAGTTTCGATCATTTCAGCGGAGGTGGCAGCAGACATCCCTTCACTGTCAACCGCGGCAGGAGAGGGCAGGGCCAGGCGGGCCGGGGCAGAGGAGCGGCTCAGGCGGGCCGCCGCAGCGGCCCCCAGCTGCACAGGCTCTGGGGAGCGAGGGCCTGGCGGAGGCGCCTCCTGGGCCGCCGCGCGGGGCGAGGCCGCATCCGCGGCGATCCCGGGCTACTGGGGCCGCGCGCAGCCCCCGCCGGGGGGGCCTCGCTCCGCATCCTGCGCCTCACGCGCTCCGCCCGCCCTAGGCCGCGGCCTCGCCTGGGCTGCGCGTCCCCAGCAGAGGAGACGGGACGGCCCCGGGGACGGGGGCCCGCCGGCTCCGCCAGCCCCGGCGGAGAGAGGACGAGACGGGAAGGAGCCGCTCAGAGCCGAGCTCCAGCCGCCGCTACGGACAGAGGAGCCGCTTCCTGCTGCCCGGGCGGAGAGAGGGCGGGCGAGGGGGGAGTCTCCGGCTGCTGCTAAGGCCGTCGAAGCGGGGCCATGGCCTGGCGGCGGCGGCTGCGGCTGCTCCTCCTCCCCCCGCGCGCGGCCGGCGGCGTCCCAGCTCCGGCCCCGCCTCCCTTCCCGCTCCGCCGGAGGCCGCCCGCCAGGGGGAGCCGCCCCCCGAGCCGTACAGGAGACTGGGACACGCACCGCAGAGCGCACCCCGCCTCCCCCGAGAGGGGGGAGAGGCTGTAAGGGAGGGGAGAGGTGTAATGAGCACAGCAACGGCAGGGGAAGACGTGGTAACACCCCTCCGCCCACATACACCCGGGGATTGATTTACAAGTGGCATCCCAACCTTCCTTGGGAGGGACTGCAACACACACAGCAACCGTCCCACCCCATCCACCCCAGCAGACAGAAAGGCGATTATAACATAGTATCATCTCCTGACACACAGTCTATACCCATACCCCCCGCACACTACCTCAGTCATCCACCCCACAGAGAGAGGGTGTCACATTCCAGGGTGCAGTTCAGCCAGTGAGGGGTTGCATCACTGCTTGCCCTGTGACTATGGGTGCCTCACAATGCTTTGCTTCACAACCAGCCTAGTGAACCTACTAGCCGTGCAAGTCACACCCTGAGTGTCTGGCTGCAATCCTGGTCCAGCAGCTCTGACCTCAGTAGCCTGTCAGTAACACTGCAGTCACACACTGGCTTCCACCAGCCTTGGTTACTACTTACAGAGTTATCACAACACATTCCCAGTCCTGGATTTTCCCTGAAATGTGTGTTTTGCACTGTTCAGCCCTCTCCTGGACAGGTCAGATATTGAAGGTTTGTTTCTCTTGTATAGAGTTAATATTCAACAGTTTGCTACTTTAATTGCAGTTACCAAACAGGTCGGTTTAAACAGAACACTGGATTGGTTTAGATTAAAAAATAACAAGTTTATTAATAAAAGAAGACAGGCTTCTAAGTGAACTCAAGTATAGGCAATAATGTTAGAAATAGTTACATGCAAATAAAAGTGAAAATATGCATCTAATCTATCAAGTTTTGGCTGAAGGCTAGGGTGACCAGGTGTTCGGTTTTCGACCGGAACACCAAGTTGAAAAGGAACTCTGGTGGCTCCGGTCAGCACTGCTGACCAGGCCGTTAAAAGTCTGGTCGGCGGGGCTGCGGAGCTAAGGCAGGCTAGTCCCTACCTATCCTGGCTCCATGCTGCAACCTGGCCAGCAGGTCCGGCTCCTAGGCGTGGGGACCACGGAGCTGCCCCCACCCCGAGAACCGGCCGATCGCAGCTCCCACTTGGCGCGGTTCGCCGTTCCAGGCCAATGGGGGCTGCAGGAAGCAGTGGCCAGCACATCCCTCGGCCTGCGCTGCTTCCCGCAGCCCCCATTGCCCTGGAACGGCAAACTGCAGCCAGTGGGAGCTGTGATCAGCCGAGCCTGCAGACGCTGCAGGTAAACAAACCATCCCGGCCCACCAGCAGATTTCCCTGACGGGCCGCGTGCCAAAGGTTGCTGATCCCTGATGTATATGTCGCCTTTTACTTCAAGTAGTGCTTAGACTCCTAGGTTCCATCCTGCTGACAACCCATGGTGTGGACTGTTACTGAATGTGGCGGGATGATGTTTCCATGGTATGTGTCAGACAGCTGTATATCAGAAGCCACCGACTGCATCTTTATACATGTTTAGTCTCAACCCCATTAATTATAATGGGAATTACATATCCCTCATGTATAGCAGCAGGGAAAGTGTGTGTCTCCTAAGTACAGGATGCCACACAGAAGCAATGCTTGTGCCCTTCCTAGACTCCTGAAAAACAAATCTTGGCTCTTCCTGTCCCAGACGTAGTGCTAGCCACTTTCCTAGCACATATGTCTCATGGACACATCAACACCATTTGCAGGGCCCTTTGTATTCCAGGATTCCATGATTATGAAAATTACTTTTTCACTTTGGGCATTTTAAAGATATTTTTTAAATAAAAGTAAAGGAAATGAAGGTCTAGAGTCACAAAATTGAGGAGGAGGTGATGGTGCCGCCTTTATACCTAATAGCACACAGATTAGGGAACTAAAGCATGTCACTTTTGACAAATAGTTTCAGTCAAAATGAAAAAAAAAATCTGAAATGTCAGAATGAAATGTTTAAATTTTTCAGGCTAGATCAGGGATCGGCAACCTGCATCTCTCTAGATAAGTGCCCTAACCAGTCGGCTAGAGTCATTGTCATACTCCTTGGCCTAAGAAGTACTGAAGTATTATATACAAAGTGGAACAGCGTTATCAGGAGCTATTAAAGGAAACAGATGGTTAAGATACTCCCTAGCATGGGAAAACCTGGGTTTAACTCTCTGCTCCAGAACAGGAATTCAAAGTTAGGTTTCCCAAATGAGTGCATTGGCTGTTGATATAAGGGGACCTCCTTCTCAAAATTTGTGAATAGCACCTAAATCCCCTTGTGAATCTAACACAAAAAAATCAAAATGTTTCATTTTAGCAGACACTTTTCATTTTTATTTAGACTGAAGCTATATTGAAGTCGGCACAAAGTAGTGAAATGTTTCAGTTGATCCTAATCAACATTTTTCAGTGAAAAAAAGGTTTGACTAAAAAATGTTGCCCAGCTCTAGTTGGTGCTGGGATAGGGAGCTTTGCCTTCCTGCAGCCACTCTTCTTTTGGGCCTGATCCATCATTACATTACTCCAGATTAATGCCAGCAAAATCAATGGACATACACCAGCATAACACTAGCATAATACAGCAATAAATCAGGCCCTCTGCCTTTTTAGTAACACTTCTTATATCCTTTTTCACTGTTGTTAGGGTAGAAGAAAGTGAGGTTGGAGTGGAGATGTCCTCCTGCATTTCCCTTTTATTGTCTGTTCTCAGACCCTGACAGCCAAGCCCATAACTTATAAGAAACATTGGGAATCAATCAGTCAGTTCCCCTAACAAAGGAGGACAGTGACTGGCTGCCTGTCTTTGTGTCATCACAAGGTGTGGGGCCCTACACTTAGATTACCACCCTGCAGTCTGGACTGGCATGTTAAGGGCTAGACACTTACATGTGTTCCCCTTCCCCTATTCTCTGCCTGCTTGTCTGTCTGTCCTTAGTTTATGGTGTGATGTCGGGGGGGGGAGGGGGCGGGAAAGACAGTTTGGAGCAGGGAGAGACCATTCTTTTTGAATGTTTGGAAAGCACCTAACTAGTAGTGGGTGCTACCACAACTAACAGGATAATAATTATTAATAAAAGACTTCTCCTCATGAAAAGTCACAAAGAAAAGAAAAAAGTACTTTCTGTCAGATCCCTTTAAATGTGTCATGGTGCTTTGAAATATATACAAAATATATATTATTTTCTACAGCAGTTTTTTTTCCTTCAGTGTGAGGCAGTTTGTTGATTTTCCCATCCAATCTTTCAAGTCTCTGTGCCATTTCCAATGCCATTAGGTCAATGAAGACCAAACTTTCAAGTACTCAGCACCTAGCAGTTCTCATTGCGACACTTATCGAAAGAGCCAACATGATGAGTTCTTTTTGGAAATCTGGCCACTTATTTTGGTGCCTAAATGGAAGTTGACTTCTTTTGAGAATCTGACCCCAATGGCAGGTTCTGAGCTCTTTTGAAATTCCGGCCATAGATTTTGAGCTGTTTTCTTGCACTGTCCCACGGTATGGTTCCACATTTTTTTGACCCAGTGCCATCCACCAGTTGTTCTGAATTGGCACAGATGGCATTGGAATAACTCTTGTATTTTATAACAAATAAAGATTTTTAATATTTTGAAGAGTTTGAAATTTAGTCAAAATAGAAAAAAAGTGGGCAATATTTTCCATTCTTCAAAGTTATTACAAAATGGCAGATACAGATTACTCTTTAACATTCACTCTAAAGAGGAGGTATCTGAGTCTCTAGCTATTTGGAAAATCATGGGAGACAGGAGAGATTCCAGAAGACTGGAAAAGGGCAAATATAGTGCCCATCTATAAAAAGGGAAATAAAAACAACCCAGGAAACTACAGACCAGTTAGTTTAACTTCTGTGCCAGGGAAGATAATGGAGCAAGTAATTAAGGAAATCATCTGAAAACCCTTGGAAGGTGGTAAGGTGATAGGGAATAGCCAGCATGGATTTGTAAAGAACAAATCATGTCAAACCAATCTGATAGCTTTCTTTGATAGGATAACAAGTCTTGTGGATAAGGGAGAAGCGGTGGATGTGGTATACCTAGACTTTAGTAAGGCATTTGATACACATGATATTTTTATCAATAAACTAGGCAAATACAACTTAGATGGGGCTACTATAAGGTGGGTGCATAACTGGCTGGATAACAGTACTCAGAGAGTAGTTATTAATGGTTCCCAATCCTGCTGGAAAGGTATAACAAGTGGCGTTCTGCAGGGGTCTGTTTTGGGACCGGCTCAGTTCAATATCTTCATCAACAACTTAGATATTGGCATAGAAAGTACACTTATTAAGTTTGCACATGATACCAAACTGGGAGGGATTGCAACTGCTTTGGAAGATAGGGTCGTAATTCAAAGTGATCTGGACAAATTGGAGAAATGGTCTGAGGTAAACAGGATGAAGTTTAATAAAGACAAATGCAAAGTGCTCCACTTAGGCAGGAACAGTCAATTTCACACATACAGAATGGGAAGAGACTGTCTACAAAGGAGTACGGCAAAAAGGGATCTGGGGTTATAGTGTACCACAAGCTAAATATGAGTCAACAGTGTGATGCTGTTGCAAAAAAAAGCAAACATGATTCTGGGATGCATTAACAGGTGTGTTGTGAGCAAGACACGAGAAGTCATTCTTCCGCTCTACTCTGCGCTGGTTAGGCCTCAGCTGGAGTATTGTGTCCAGTTCTGGGCACCGCATTTCAAGAAAGATGTGGAGAAATTGGAGAGGGTCCAGAGAAGAGCAACAAGAATGATTAAAGGTCTTGAGAACATGACCTCTGAAGGAAAGCTGAAAGAATTGGGTTTGTTTAGTTTGGAAAAGAGAAGACTGAGAGGGGACATGATAGCAGTTTTCAGGTATCTAAAAGGAGGAGGGAGAAAACTTGTTCATCTTAGCCTAAGGACAGAACAAGAAGCAATGGGCTTAAACTGCAGCAAGGGAGGTTTAGGTTGGACATTAGGAAAAAGTTCCTAA